GTGGTTTGGCCACCTGCTCCACACACTCAGAGCCCGAATATTAAAAAAAGACCAAAGAACGGATCACTCACGCTCGCTGAACAACTGCACGACAAAAAGGGGAAACCGAGAGCCCCATTTTCCACGAGAGCCAGAGATGGCAAGAGTACACACATCCTTTGCTCAAGTAGAAGTACACACATCCTTTGCTCAAGTAGAAGTACACACATCCTTTACTCCAGTAGAAGTACACACATCCTTTACTCAAGTAGAAGTACACACATCCTTTGCTCAAGTAGAAGTACACACATCCTTTGCTCAAGTAGAAGTACACACATCCTTTACTCCAGTAGAAGTACACACATCCTTTACTCAAGTAGAAGTACACACATCCTTTGCTCAAGTAGAAGTACACACATCCTTTGCTCAAGTAGAAGTACACACATCCTTTACTCCAGTAGAAGTACACACATCCTTTACTCAAGTAGAAGTACACACATCCTTTGCTCAAGTAGAAGTACACACATCCTTTGCTCAAGTAGAAGTACACACATCCTTTACTCCAGTAGAAGTACACACATCCTTTACTCAAGTAGAAGTACACACATCCTTTGCTCAAGTAGAAGTACACACATCCTTTGCTCAAGTAGAAGTACACACATCCTTTACTCGAGTAGAAGTACAGATACTCGTGTTTAAAAATACTCTGGTGAAAGTAGAAGTACTGACTAAACTTCTTTACTCAAGTAAAAGTAAAGAACTTTGAAGTGTACTTCAGTAAAAAGTACCCATAACTAGCAGCTGCTTTAAAGAGTACCTGACCTCCCTTTATATTAATAGAACAATAATGTCATTGTTAGCTAATGAATGTTTCCATGCTGAACAACGGCAACATGACAACGTTTCCATTGGTCCCTCTTCTTTAGAGAAGACCAGGAAATGATGGATACACGGATCGTGTTCAAATCAATAGGCACGCAATGACTCTAAAGAATAATGATCACGCATCAAACACACATTCAGACTAAAGGAACCAGCTGTTTGGGAAATGAGAGAAGTAGAAAGTACAAGTATTTGAGTTCAACATGTAAGAAGTAGAAAGTACAGGTATTTGGGTTCAACATGTAAGAAGTAGAAAGTACAAGTATTTGTGTTCAACATGTAAGAAGTAGAAAGTACAGGTATTTGAGTTCAACATGTAAGAAGTAGAAAGTACAGGTATTTGAGTTCAACATGTAAGAAGTAGAAAGTACAGGTATTTGAGTTCAACATGTGAGAAGTAGAAAGTACAGGTATTTGAGTTCAACATGTAAGAAGTAGAAAGTACAGGTATTTGAGTTCAACATGTGAGAAGTAGAAAGTACAGGTATTTGTGTTCAAAATGTAAGAAGTAGAAAGTACAGGTATTTGTGTTCAACATGTAAGAAGTAGAAAGTACAGGTATTTGTGTTCAAAATGTAAGAAGTAGAAAGTACAGGTATTTGTGTTCAACATGTAAGAAGTAGAAAGTACAGGTATTTGTGTTAGAAATGTAAGAAGTAGAAAGTACAGGTATTTGTGTTCAACATGTAAGAAGTAGAAAGTACAGGTATTTGTGTTCAACATGTAAGAAGTAGAAAGTACAGGTATTTGTGTTAGAAATGTAAGAAGTAGAAAGTACAGGTATTTGTGTTCAACATGTAAGAAGTAGAAAGTACAGGTATTTGTGTTCAACATGTAAGAAGTAGAAAGTACAGGTATTTGAGTTCAACATGTAAGAAGTAGAAAGTACAGGTATTTGGGTTCAAAATGTAAGAAGTAGAAAGTACAGGTATTTGGGTTCAACATGTAAGAAGTAGAAAGTACAGGTATTTGGGTTCAACATGTAAGAAGTAGAAAGTACAGGTATTTGGGTTCAAAATTTGAGAAGTAGAAAGTACAGGTATTTGGGTTCAACATGTAAGAAGTAGAAAGTACAGGTATTTGGGTTCAACATGTAAGAAGTAGAAAGTACAGGTATTTGGGTTCAAAATGTAAGAAGTAGAAAGTACAGGTATTAGTGTTCAACATGTAAGAAGTAGAAAGTACAGGTATTTGAGTTCAACATGTAAGAAGTAGAAAGTACAGGTATTTGGGTTCAACATGTAAGAAGTAGAAAGTACAGGTATTTGAGTTCAACATGTAAGAAGTAGAAAGTACAGGTATTAGTGTTCAACATGTAAGAAGTAGAAAGTACAGGTATTTGGGTTCAAAATGTAAGAAGTAGAAAGTACAGGTATTTGGGTTCAACATGTAAGAAGTAGAAAGTACAGGTATTAGTGTTCAACATGTAAGAAGTAGAAAGTACAGGTATTTGGGTTCATCATGTAAAAAGTCATCCGAAAAATAAGTAGTGGAGTAAAGTACTGATACCAGAAACATGTACTTAAGTACATTAACAAAGTATTTTGTAATCCACTACTTCCCACCTCTGACGAGAGCGTTTCACGTGACTCAACGGCTCATCAGTCTCTAGACATGAAGTGCAAGTCCCTGAGTTGACGAACACTTAAGAGAAGGAAACATTGTGATAAAATAGGGAGTCATTTGGTAAATGTCCACTCTCTCTTTCTGTCTTCAGCCCATCTCTCTTCCTTTAGTCGCTGACAGAGAGACGTCCACTTCAGCCAAAACTGAGTCCCAGCTGAGGCGCAGAATATGTCTGCAGCGTGGCTTATGTCCCACACACACACACACACACACACACACACACACACACACACACACACACACACACACACACACACACACACACACACACACACACACACACCACACACACACACACACACACACACACACACACACACACACACACCCACACACACACACACACACACACACACACACACACACCACACACACACACACACCACACACACACACACACAGGCTTTACAGAGAGAATGGGGTAAAAACAAACAAAACCTCGTAGTCAAAGTTAGACTTGCCATATCTCTAATATCCAGCAGGGGGTGACTCCACTTGTTGCAAAAAGATTGTATAGAAGTCTATGAGAAAATTACCCTCACTTTTTCCTGAGATAATCTAGTAATTGTATCCTTGAAAACCATTTGTGAGGAACATACAACATAGCTTGGAATACTTTTTAGAGATCCAACTCCACTGGTTGCAAAAATAAGTCAGATTGTATAGAAGTCTATTAAAAAATTAGCCTATTGTTCAGTTCATTTATAACCTAAGAAAACCATTTCCTGATGAGTTTCTGGTCCTGTTTCAAAGTGTTCATTACAATGAAAGTTATTGTGCAATCTTTCCGAAGAAAATGTTGTAGTTCTATCCTCTACACATGAAAAACCATTTGTAAAGAATATACAATACACCTCAGTAGAATAAATATAACTGCAAGATCCAACTCCACTGGTTTCAAAAAGAAGTCAGATTGTATAGGAGGAAAAGGAGGCTTCTTTTCACTTTATTTATTACCTCAGTGAACATTTTCCTGATCAGTTTATGGTCTCAATCTCTAATTCTAAGTGTCCTTCAATACAGTATGGTGTTTATATTCAAATACATTTGCCCATTGAGAGTAAAAAAGACCACAGTTCATCTTACAATTTTTACCTTTTGACAGTTTGTGTTCAGACTTCATGAGAGGAAATTAATACATTTATTAGGTCTAAAAAGGTTGGATTTGGTTCTACTTACCGCGACCCTCTTATGTCATTATGCATTACATTTAATTTAGCTGAAGCTTTTATCCTCGTAAAAAGTGCAATAAACTCTTAAGGTGCAAACTCAGAACAGCCAGTGCTGGTGCATACGTTTCAAATGACCTAAACCCTTTAAGTACAAAAATGTTATTTTATGTTTTGTGTTAGGTGTCACTTCTTGTTCAAGGTTTCCAAACCACAGGCCGCAAACCTTTGAGAAAGCCTAGTAGGAATATAATAATGTGTCTGATGAATAAATGATGTTTTTGGATTCTTTGTTTTGGCCACTGCTCCGGGTTTTCTTTGCTTCTCTGAGGTTTGACTTGGAACAAAATGTTTCCCTGATATTTCTAACAAATTCGTTTTTTTTGTCAGTTGGCCGGTTTCCTTAGAAAACTTGATATTAAATAAGTGAACGGGTGATTACTATTAGGCAGATTCTTCTCTTTGTGCTTTAATTACTCATAATGTATAAATAAGTCTATACAATGTGTAAACATAACGTGAAGTATAATCAAAATAAATGTACACTTTTAAGGGGGGAAACACGTTCTACCAATCCTTTGTAAATGTAGATGTCATTTTCCTTGTTTAGATCAATCGTAATGTTTAGGGTTTATTTAATAATGTTACTAATATTAAAGGTGGGGTAGGTAAGTTTGAGAAACCGGCTTGAGATACACTTGTTGTTATATTCCATGGAATGCTCTTAACATCCCGATAGCAATGAATATATTAAATGCTTTGACAATAAATCCATAACAACATATCATCTCTGGAAGCCGTGGCGCTGTAAAAAGCACGACCAATCATCTGAGCCGGCCCGGCTAAAGTAACTGGATGGCCTACCTGCCTGTCAGCCTTCCATCTGGGCACAAACTTATCTCGTGCCCTCATTGGTCATGTGCGCGTTCGTGTGTGTTGGAGGAGGGGCTCTGTGAGGAAGTGGCACATTTCTTCCGGCTGTGTATTTTCAAATTCTAGCGCACTCGAGCTGGTTTCTCCAAAATTACCTACCCCACCTTTAAACTGTTCTTCATAGAAATATGGGTTTAAGAAATCTGTCAATGTAAAGTCATGAGTTTGTTTTGGTTAGCTTAACCAAATTAAATAAATGAATACATACAAAATAAATAATATCCATTAAAAATTAATGTATTTAATATTCTTACTAATGATAACATGGTGTTTATATAAATATGGGTTCAAGGCTGTCCAGAGACTACAGATGAAAATGGCACAGTTACAGAAATGTTGATTAATGTGTACTGTTAAATAAATGAATAAAAAATAAAAAATAATATCCAATCAAAATGAATGTTCCCTCACCTTGGAGTTGCACTTGTAAATGGGGTGTGTGATGGTCTCCACAAAGTGATGCCTCATGCAGCGTTCAGGGTCCGAATCTCCCAGGTGGGGGTTAGCGTTATCGTTGGCTTTTTTCCCGCCTGCAGCCTCCACCATGCCCAGCAGGGGGCAGCACATCAGGACCAGCAATAGCCATGAGAGAGGGGGCACAGAAATGAACGGTTTCATGATGGGACCACCCCAAAAAGTCTCCTCACGGGACGTCCAAAAATGTCTTCTTTTATTCCTGCTTTCTCAGTAGTAGTTGTGTTTGTTTCCCACAAAATAAAATGGGATTTGGGAGGGGGAGGGTGGTCTTTATTTGATCTGTTTCTTATTCCTGTTAGTACAGCGGGGGCTCAAGGTCGTTGAGCTGAAGGGAAACAGGTAAGAGGAGGAGGAAGGTTTTTTTTTTCATTGGGACGCTCCATTCCCCCGCTGTCTGGATCCACCGCAGTCTG